TATTAATGAATTTGTAGCAAAAAAATATTAAATATTTTTCAAAAATATTATGTAACATTATTTATATGATACTCTTGATTAATGAAACTTGTAAAACACACTAATTGAGTCATCTTTATCTCTTAATTACCTAATAAAGGTGAATCTAATTGGTTTTTAAAAAAAGAAGAAAATTTTCAAAAAAGTTTTGAAAGCCAAAAATTTTAATGAAAAATATTTAACTAATTTATTGTTTATATATTTCTACTTAAAATTGAAAATAGTAAAAAAAAATAAAATGTAAAAAACAGCTCTACATGTAGACATTTATCATCCAATATTATTGTACATTAAATTGTAAAAACTTTTTAAAAATCAAGCAATTTTTTTATTTTTTTAAGAACTTGTTTCTCTAATATTAAAACTTGTCATGTTTTGCGTAGATCCAAAAACAGAAAATAAAATTAGAAATCATAACAAATATTAAATTAAGTTGTAATTACTATTTTTATAAGAGAAATTTACAATGTGCACTCTTTCAAATGGTGCACATTGTAAAAAAGTAATGATTTTTTATGATGAATATTATGATTGTTTGTGACGTATGTTATGACATTTTATAGTAAAGTTATAAATAATGAATTTATGATGCACACTTTAAAGTTAAGAATGATAATGTTATGATATTTTGTGATTTTGTTATGACACTTTGAGATTTTATTATGACATTTTTCAATGAAAAAAAGTTACTATTTTAATGGTAAAAAAATTATGACATTTTGAATTTAAGTTATAAAATTTTATGAAAAAGTTATGAAAGACATACCATATGCATTTTTTTTAAGGTGCACATGGTAACATCTCTCATATTTATATATTTGCATTCTTATTATAAATAAATGTATAGATATTAGTAATATTATAGTACACACCTCTAAAAGAGTGTGTATCATATATCAATTATAACATTTCGTAACTAACCCCCCAATAAACCATGACTAAAGACTTCAAAAATTGTAGCTGCAGAGCATATAATACCATAAAATTTCCCTATATATCTTTAATTTTCATATTCTATATATAAGTATATATTCCCGTGAGAGTTTTATGAAAGATATACTTGACGAAACCTATAATATGAACAATTTTATTTGTTTAATCTTCTACTTCATTCACTTCCAAAATGAATTTTTTTTTTCAACATAATAATCTCAAATAATATTTAATTAATTGAAATGAAAGCTAAATGTCATTGAATTAAAATCAAATTATTCTTCTTTAACCTCTACTAACTAATTGTTTAACTATATTTTTATTCTATCAAACAAACACTACATTAAAACAAAAAATACATTTTAATTAAAAAAAATATGTGCAACTTGCTCGTGCCTTGCATGGACTCCCTACCTGGTATATGTATAAGAATAGCTTTGGTTCCGATGGCTCATCTTTTGTTGCCTATTTTACCCTTAGCTTGTTTTGAAATTTGCTATTTTGCCTTGTAGCTTCGTTGTGAAACAATTTGGGTGTTTTGGAAATTATCTTTAGTTGCCTATTTTGTCCTTAGCTTGTTTTGGAATTTCCCATTTCCCCTTTTAGTTTGGTTAGTGAAATAATTTGGGTGGTGAGATTTTGAAAATTATTTAAGAAATTTTGATTTATTGTTATTAGCTTAATAGTTCAAAAGGAGAGATTTTTTGGATTTTTTAAATTTTTTTTTTAAAAGTGATTTTAAAGTGATTATTTGTATGATTGTTCGTGAGCAAATTAAAAATACACTCATAAGATTTATTTAAAATATGAATTATCCTTATAATATTATAAATTACAACACAAATACACCCATAACATAACAGAGTTTGAGAGACTCAGAGGATTCATGTTTTTTAGCTGGTACTGTTTGGTATTAGTTGGTATTTAAGCGAAATTGAATTGGATTATGTAGGTACCATTTTGTTTATAAACGGTATGTATCGACAAGTACCGGCTGATATGGTACGAGATTAATAACATTGGTTATATCTATATATCTGTTAATAGAAATATGTTTTGGATATTATTAAAAAAATTAAATTGTAATGAAATGGGTTATTTTCTATGCGATTAACATTTTGAAAGCCTCTTTGATTATGAAAATTACAAATATCTCATTATTATAATTTGTCATTTAATAGAATTGATAGAAAATAAAATAAAATTCTAATTACTCCCAAGCACAATAATAGAATTATTAAAACTTTTAATTAAAATATATTTTTGAAATCAGTACAAAAATTTAATTCACTTGTTGATTAATTAATGAAATGATTTATTTGATATGCTATTAAAATTTTGAAAGTGTAAGATATAATTTTCAAAAATTAAAATTAGTATATTAAGTAAAACTCAATAGGTGAATTGGTAATTTACCTTAAATAAAACAAGTGCACCGTGTCAAAAGATAAGCATAAAGGAAACCTTTGCTATTGAAAATAAAAAATAAAAAATAAAAAATTAATTTCAAACGATGGTATAAATTAAATTGAATCAAACGACGGTATAAATTTAATAATAAGTATCACTATAAAATAAAAAAAAAAGAAGAAAAAGTGTTTCTACTCGTCAAACCGAATAAACAAAAGATATCACTTAATTAATTATAATTAAAATGTGTAAACAAAATCAAATATTGTCTAATAAAATAATAATAATAAACATAATAAGCAATTTGAGAAAGAGATTATTGTGAGAAAGAAATATATAACAAAAAAGAAATCTCACAACATAGAATAAATGATGAATTATAAAAAAGAAATCTCACAACATATTTGAAATTGCCAGTCTAACTCTTTGCCAATAAAATCTGAAGCCCATCTCTTGTTAAAAAATTTGAAGTCTATTTGACCAAAAAAAAAAATTTGAAGTTTGTTCCCTCCTTATCGTCACAGTCTATTTGACCGAAAAAAAAAAAATTTGAAGTTTGCTCCCTCCTTGTCGTCAGTATCTATTTATTTATTCCAATATATAAATGAATTGCGTGCAAAGCATGCTAACTGATGTCCATTAAAATGTCCATTAATAAAAAGAAATAATAATATAATTTTGTTAATAAATTTGATATTTTGGATGAATCATTAGAATAAATGATGAATTATAAAAAAGAAATCTCACAACATATTTGAAATTGCCAGTCTAACTCTTTGCCAATAAAATCTGAAGCCCATCTCTTGTTAAAAAATTTGAAGTCTATTTGACCAAAAAAAAAAATTTGAAGTTTGTTCCCTCCTTATCGTCACAGTCTATTTGACCAAAAAAAAAAAAATTTGAAGTTTGCTCCCTCCTTGTCGTCAGTATCTATTTATTTATTCCAATATATAAATGAATGCTACCAGTGGTGTTTACATATTTATATATCACTAGTGAGGGGATTGCGTGCAAAGCATGCTAACTGATGTCCATTAAAATGTCCATTAATAAAAGGAGATAATAATATAATTTTGTTAATAAATTTGGTATTTTGGATGAATGGATGAATCATAGATGGTAAAAATGAAATGGAATCTAGAAATCCTCTAGATGTTGATTTATGATTATGTATCAATTTTAAGCAGAATATAACAATCCAATCAAACAATCAAGACAAAGAGACACAACGATTTTAAGTAGAAAAAACTACAATTGGACACCTCCAACTGTGATAAAAAAACCACGGGCAACAGCCACAAAACAATCCACTAAGAAGATTAAAATGAATTATACAGGTATACTCTCAATTACCTAGCGAATCCACGCCTAATTGAACCAACCTCTATGTGCCTCTTCCAACCTGTCTTCACCTCGGAATTGTCTTTACGATGAGCCACCCCGGAATCCACCAAAGGTTCAGGCTCGAATTCTTCAGAATCCACCGAAGAACAACTCTCTCTTTTGTAGAACAAAACACAACCTTTGATGTACTCTCTTTAAACCATGAGTTGAATACTCAATAAAACATCAAAGAAAAACTCACAAAGTATCCTCAGATATAAACCCTAGAAACCAAAAAGAAGATCTGGAGCAGTTATCCTAAAATCTGACCCAACACGTGAATTTATAGAATCTGTCCCGCGATCTCCGCTCGAGCGCCCAACAGCCCGCTCGAGCGGCATCAGCAAAATATGCGCAAAATATAACAGAGGTCCGCTCGAGCACCAGAAAGCCCGCTCGAGCGCGAAATCACACATCTCAGTACTTTTGCAGGCGACCAAAACTGCTGGAACCAGGAATTCTCCGCTCGAGCGCGGGTATGCCCGCTCGAGCGGACAGGCAACTTGGAATGCATTTTTGCATTTTGCTTCGGGGGCGCTGCCCCTCGACCCCGCCGTGGCGCTGCCCCCTCGACCCCCGCGAGCTGACCGGGCAGCTCGATCCCCGTCATAATCAGCGAAGTGGCAATATTGAAATCATTAGCATCACAAACTTCTCTGAAAGGAACAATTCGAGTTGGATTCGCATCTTAAACACTCATAGCCTCACTGAAATAAAAGTGCGAAAATAAATACAACTGAAAGGAGTTTTGTCAAACGGGATTGCCAAGAATAAAACCTAACAATGGACTATTAAATGTGACAACAAATGAGGGGCATCTTGCATTCATGTTACTTATTTGTATAAATCTGCAGCTATGGGAGGAAGACAAGGACTTCGCATGTTTTGAGGTCTACATGTGGAAAGTTTAATAGCTTTCGAGATACAACAAGAACTTGAAGTTTGTGATTTGTAAAAAGAATCAACGCACATCATATTTTTTTGATTTTCAAAATAATACTATAAAAATTAAGTTCAAGCTATTCATGCAGGAAGAGAATGGGAGTTGTAGTAGTAAGTGGGTTAGTATCCATTATAAGTAATATTGGATAATTTACTTTCATAAGCAGTAAGAACCAAACCAAACCAAAAGTAATATTGAGTTGTGTCTAGCACATTGTAGTTCCAAACAGGCAACAACAAAAATATGTTACAAACCAAACCACTTGAGCCATACCAAACCAAAAACTATGTCACATTGTAGTAACCTATTACAAAAATATTATAGTGTAGAGTGTTCTTTCTAGAGAGATTTTGTAGAGGGTACACTTGTTGCAGCAGAAATATCAGAAGCAAAATCTGTACCAACAGCAGCAGTTGAAATATCAGAAGCAACATTTGTACCAACAGTTGATGGAAATAGTTCTTTCTTTGCCTTGGGTTCTATTTGGACAGATTGTCGATGTGGTTTTGAAGAAAGAGTTATGATGGAGGGTTCTGCATCATCATTGTTCACTGATGTGATGACATGTTGAAGCATTACTTGTCCACGGAACTGATATTGGCGAGGCTTTAGTTGAATAATGTGATATTTTGGCACATTCAATTTTGAAAGGGCTTCATTTGAAACTTTTCCATCCTGCATAATATATGTAGAATATTTTAAAAATTGGGAAGAAAAATAGTGAATTTGAAGATGAAGCATGTTGATTTATTTGACCTGTGTTGTATGCTTCATTAGGTCAGTAGATGAAATTGAAAAGAACTTTTCTGCATGATCCTGGAATATTGTTGCCATTATTGAACTTGAATTATCTTTGAGTTCAACTTGGAATTTGAATCTGTTTGTTTGTAGTAAATTATATGTTAGTTTTATTAAATATAAAACATTAGTTATATTAAAAGGTGTAGGGTTCGTTTGTTGTTACCTCGGTTCTGCAATGACTTCTTCTTTTTTTTTTTTTTACAGTGGAAACAGTCGAAAAGAGTTTGATATTTTGCATTTATGGATTTGTAGCAATTGTTGCAGCTCATGTACCAAAAAGATTGATCAAGTGAGGTGATGGACATAGTTGCTTTGACCTAGTACATTTTCTAGTAACAGGTGATTAGCAATGGTTACTAATGATATATTTAAGATGCTTAAAGAGTAGAAGAATATGTATGAAGCTTACTGCATTTGGAGAAGATGGAATGCTGCTGATGGAAATGATTTTATCTACTTTAGGACTTGGAGTTGTGATGTTTCGAACATGAGTTTCAAGTGGAGAAGGTAAAGTTCTAATGACTTCTTCATTTTGGACGCACCTGCATCAATTTATTTTGATATTAGTGTTTGTAAGAAATTAATATTTGAGTTAAAGTATTTGAATTAGATGGTACTAATTGTGAAGTTGCAGCTTTGAAGTTGGGGTTGAGCACAAAAGCTGATGTTGGTTTTGTTGATAATGATTGTTCTGTAAAAAATAAATTAAAAAAAATATGTTTTATATATTTTTAATATCTAGTATAATGTGGTAAGTGTAGACACCCCATTTTTGACCGTCCTCAAGACTTGGACGTCACCATTTGAACACCCGGTGATCATCCTTGTTTGTGTTTGTCTTGAGTTCCCGGAGGTCTTGACTACGCGCCTTGCCTCAGGATCTCTCGACTCGACTGTTTTGTGTTTGGTTTTGCACCAAACACTTGTGTTTTGCCTTGGAGGGGTAGGAAATGGCTTGAGGGCCATCCCCACACATCACCGGCCATGGATTAAGGCCACCGGCTGTGTTTTGTTGCCACCGGCCAAATGTTTGGCCGGCCGGCACTATAGATGGTCGACCAGCCATCTTTTTTGGCCAAATTGCATTTTTGAACGGCCGACCACTGTGCATCTGCTTTTGCAGATATTTTATGCTAGCTGGCATACACTTTGTTCCCCTCCATACACGTGTATGGAGGGATCTCCCTCTTGGCTAGCTTGTCTTATAAGCTTGCAAGATTGAACCTTCTATAAGAGGAGGCCTCTTCTCCCTCTTTTAGGTTGGACAAAAAAATACAGAGGGAGCTCTGGATTAGGGTTAGGGTTTGTGTATCACCTATCTCTATATCTCTCTCTCTTTTTGCGTTTGTGTGTGTATAAGTGTATTTGTGTCTTACTTTTGGGCACAAACACATAGTATTACACCTTCTCTTGGTTGCTGAGGGGCCAGAGGGTTGTTCTTGGTGTTCTTGGGTGGTTTTGAACTCAAAGAGCCTGATTGCAATTAGAGTTGGAAATGATTGAGCAATGGCTTGCAATCTCTCTCCTTCATTAGTGACAAATTGACCCCACAAAGTTAAAACTATTGGCATTAACCTGCTACAATTAAGAGAATTTGTTAGTATTGAAATCAAGTTATACTAAACGCAGGTATACAAAATACTTACTCTTCATTAATGAGTACAATTTCTTGTGCAGTTGTGGTTCCATTTTCTGTTGTGATTGTTTTTGGTGGCTTAATTTGAATAACTGCTGCAAGAATATCTGTTATAGATACAAAAAAAATAAGAGTATGTAATGAAAAAGTAAGTTGATAATTATTTATGTTGATCTAAGAAAATTACCTATGGATGATGTTTCATTGCCAAGATGGTCAGAGAATTCATTGAATGGTACGAAGTGATATGTTGGGGCATTGTTATCTTCATTACTGTTTTCAACATCTTGAATAAGTGTGCTGACAATGATTGTCCATTGCCATTGCCATGATTGTGGTGTGATACGGTATTTTTCTTGTAGCAACTTCACAGCAGCATTTGAGACATAGTATGAGTTAAAAACTTTGAAGGTATCTTAGAACTGTTCTATTTGATCTTCATAAAGTATAGCTTGAACTTGGGTACCCTATACAAGTGATCTTCATAAAGTATAGCTTGAACTTGTGTACCCTATACAAGTGGTATGTATAACAGAAGTTAATGAGGCAGTGGATTATGTAATTATGAATTAAATGAAAATTGTTATTGTTAAGAACCTAAAAAATGAATATGGTAAATATGGTATATATTTTAAAATAAGAATTTCAAATTGTAACCTCTACATCAGCCAAAATGAGCCTTTGATATCTTGTTGAGCCTGTTTTTGGGATTCGTGGATTCCACTTTTCCAAAACACGAATCTTTGCAGTCCATTGTTTAGTTGTGCTAGTTATTTTCTTGATAGGTGTTATTTCTTCATTCATCCTGCAAAATTTGTTGTAAGAAACAATTTAACAAGAATTTAATACAAGGATAATAGATAATTATAATAAATACAAATAAAATTAAAATTACATTACATAAGAGGAAATTTACCAAAAATTTACAACAAAAAAATGAATTATATACAGCCTGCAAGTGTTAGTAGTTCTTCATAAACAACATTTTTTGTGGTATTGTTATCCAAAGCATGTTGATTTGTTGGCGGAATGAGAACTTTAACATCTGCAACAATTGTAGCTCGCGATAGAGCAACATAAAGTTGTCCATGGGAGAATACTGGCTCTCGTAGATAAAGACCTACTTTTTGTAATGTTTGGCCTTGCGCTTTATTTATTGTCATGGCAAAACATAACTTTACTGGGAATTGTGTTCTAGTAAACTGAACTGGGTATTTTTGATGATCTGAGGGTTGCTATAATAACCCCGACCTCCGATTAATGCTAAACCATGATTATTTATGCCTAACAGTAATTTAGAAGGAGTTCAGAATTAAATTGCATATGTATTGAATTATCTTTGTGTTTTTATCTGTTTGCCATAAAATGATCTGTTCATGTTTTATGTTTTAAACTGCAAATTGAAGGCCTTATCAGCGGCCGAATCCGAAACTGATTATGTTTTGTGTTAATTAGAATTAATGTGATTTTATGGTAAATTTAGTTGAAATTTGATTTGGTATGATTAAATTGGATTAAATAATGCTAAATCACATTAGTTGAGTACTTACATGTTTGCCACTTAGTGGGCCACCTTTACAAACTTGTGTGGGACTTAATTCACACCCTTGAGGCATCATTTCTTCATCCATATCTCAGACCAAACCGTGAGAGTGAGAGAAGAGTACGAGAAAATTTATTCAACAAGAATTTTGCTTGATCTTTGGAGATTTGAAGGAAACTTGGAAGATTTGAGCTTAGAGATTTCACCTTCTCCATTGTGAATTTAAGATTAATTCTTGCATGGTTCATGGAAGATTAGAGTTTAAAGTCAAGAATTGGTTGAAAATGTTGAATTAAGGCTTAAATCATGCATGCATGTTCATCTCTTAGCATTTTGAAGTGTCTTCATGGAAGTTCTTGCATGCAAGCCCATATTCTAGCCTTAGTCCATGAATTCATCATGATTTTGAGCTCAATCTTACATTTGGTCATGTTTTAGAGCATTGGATTTAAAATGAACACTTGCATGTTAAGCTTTTGTTTTGTTCTTGAAGTTCTATTTGAAATTGTGTTTAATTGACTCGCCTTTGGGTTTTGATTTTACAAATTGATCTTTGAAACATCTTATACTATGGCCCCGTTGGTTTTGGGAGATAGAATGGAGGGGATTGATAGTGAGTGGATTGTTAGTGAGGGGATTAATAGTGAGGGGATTGATAGTGAGTGTTAAATTATTTTTATATAAAATAATAAAACAAATAAAAAAATATAAAAAAATAAACATTATATTTAAAAAAAAATCCCAATATATAAAAAATAAAAAAATTTCTAATCCCCTCACTATTTTTCTAATACCATCTCTATCTCCTCCTTACCAATCCCCCTTCCTCTTCCTTACTAATACCAAGGGATTACTAGTCCCCTCCCTATCTCTCAAAACAAACACCCCATTCTCAATCCCCTCCTCACTATCAAACCCAATCCCCTCCCCATAACCCCAAACAAATGGGGCCTATGAGTTTACAAGTGTTTTCTAGAAAATTGGCCCAAGAGGTCGAGTTTTGAGGTGTTGAATGCTTGGTTTGAGCTTGGGAGGAAAATCTGGAAATTCTAGAATTTAGCTTCCTCGCTCGAGCGAAGGATTCCACGCTCGAGCGACCATCGTTTGTTCAAAGCTTCGCTTGAGCGAAGGAATGGTGGCTCGAGCGTAAATTGCAAGCTCTCAGGTTTTTGGTGCACACAGACGCACGCTCGAGCGACGAGACCTACGCTCGAGCGAAGAGGTGTGTCTCACACTCGAGCGAGCATCGAGCGGGCATCGAGCGTAAAATTTCAACAACCAGTACTTTTGCATTTTTATAGACCGCTTGAGCGAAGGAGTCTACGCTCGAGCGACCCCTCTATTTTGACAAGCTCGCTCGAGCGAAGAAAGTTACGCTCGAGCGAGGCCCCTGTTTTCAGCAAGTTTTGAAAAATATTTTCCAAGGCATCTTTGCATCCTCATTCCATCCTAGGCATTCCTAGGCCATGTTTAAGACTCTATAGTAAGGATTTAAGGTTAGAAACATACTAAGAACCAACGACGTAAGTTTTGTGCAATTAGAATGTGTGTTTCAAGTGTGTGTCCGTTATGTGTTATGTAGGTCATATGCCGCGTATCGTGTGATCAATCTGCTCCGTCTATCTGTTTCAAGGCCAACTGTGAGTAATAACTTAGTAAAGTTATGTTCAAACTGTATCTACTTTCTGTGTGATAAAACAAGATCTGTTTTCCGAAATGATATGTTCTGTACAATGAATGATTGTTCAATTTCTGATATGTACTCGCGACATCCTTAGCATTATGTGATATCTGTTAGCTGTTACCAGGTATCGAAGGTTCCTTTATGGAAATTATTTCTGTCTGCACTCTGTTACCCGTACCGGAGGCCCTGTCACGGGGGCTCAGCTTCTGTTCTGTTCTGTTGCCCGGATCCAGAGGTTCCTTTATGGAACTGGTTATTCGTAACCTTACGTGTATACGTTCTGTTTTGTTCTGTTTTGTTCTGTTTATGCTAATAGATGTATCACG